GGCTTAGTGTTTTGTTTTAATGACAGTTTCAGGAGAGGAATCAGGGTGCAGGGAGGGAAAGCTGTTCACAGTTCTTCAAAATATATTCCCACTTTGGTTTTCTGTGCACAAATTACATGATAATGCATTTCTTGAAATTCAAATTTAGATCAAATATATGCAAACCATTTCCCTAGTTTACTAAAATCTGAAAACATATTCCACACCTACATCCCCGAGGAAGGCAACTAATAACTAACATTCCATGAAAGCCCACTGTTCATCACAGCACTGTGACATCTGTTTTCTTGATCTTTATTCTTATCAAAAGAAGACAAGGCTTTTAAATAAGACTAAATGGCATACAACGATCCTAATTTGAACATAAATAACGGTCTATACAAAATGTAACTCTTGTTAAATAAATGGATGATCAAAGTTAGTCTTAAGGACTATGAACAACTTTTTTTTTTTTTTTAGATCTTCTCACTTCAGTCAAGGATCTTGGTGATCCCAATCCACCTGTGCGTAACAGAGATGATCTTGGAGACGCTGGGTATGGAACCAACAGGCCACCTCTAAGAATGTATGTATTTTCATTTTTAATTAATGGGACTCAAGGGATAGAGGGACTGGAATGGTCTTCTTGACATCACACTTTTCTAGATTAACATACAGAATTAGTAAGCATGCTGGAACATTGACAGCCCAATGCGTTTGCGTATAGTGTATTTTGTGTATACAAATGTTGATCTGAGGGTAACAATATTTACCTACTTATAAATATATGTAATGCAATGGAGAGATGTAGTATAGATAATGTGCAATATTATACAACAGTCTAACAAAACATTTTAAATGTAACCTACTCCCAAATCCCACTGAGACATTGTAGCTGAGGCCTTCAGGAAGCAGAGAAAGGAAAAAGAAAGTAATTATTCACAGGAATTTGTTTGTTTCTCACAAGAAAATGTATTCAACTGCTGTGCACTATGTATAACAAAACTGCTTATGAAGAAAAAAAAAACATCAGAGATATGAAACTGCTCTAAACATCCATAACTGTTAAACTGTTTATTTTCTTTTGTTGCATTTTTGATTTATCGGTGAAAAGCACATTGCATATATACGTCTCTGTGTGAAATTTGCATTCTCATCATGGGTGAACTTCTAACACATTTTTACACAGAACAAAGAGAGAATGGAGTGAAATGGAACACTTTTAAAGTGTACCTGTTAAATATCCCCTGCATGACTAAGGTTTTTGCAAATCCGACTATACCAACATGGTCAATGCACGTCATTTGCCATGAAGGGATAAAAAAAAAACCAAACAAACACAAAAAGCCCCTCACAAACTTGAAAGTTATTATAATAAAGGCCAGCAAGTGCCAGTAAGTCTGTAGAGCACTGTTTGAGCACAATATACATT